GTATCACGTAATCTCGATTGATTTAAAAATCCTGTCCACTTACTTTTTAGTGACGATGGATTTCGGTTTATTTGAATTCCAATGAACGCATCTGAACAATTTTCTTAATAAACCATTTTATTGATTAAAAGAAGAGACAGAACTATCTGTTTGAGCATTTTTATCAACATCGTTTTATGTTTACCTTGGAACCATCCATCTTCATTACCAGAGTCCAGCCACCACCCCCACATCCATCAAGAGCTGTCATGTGACAGTAAACTGGAAGGATCTTTTTCCCTAGCCTCAAAGGGTAGGCTTTGTTGGCTTCAGATCTGAAAAATGTGGAAAATGATATAAAACGAATGTAATCAATTGTTTAAAAAAGGGGTGGATGGAATGTGTTGATCAGGAGTTTTTATAACTCGAACGAAAGTGGCGCTCATGGCAACTTGGGATACTAGCAAGATTAATTCTCCAATTAGCAATTTATTTTAAAACGCGGTCAGCTGATGAATGGAAAGACCTTACCCATTTGTGTTGTACAGCTCTTTACAACTTTCAACGGCTGGGGCTTGATTTTGAAAAGAAAATCAGAGAATATAAATTAGCCCGAATGTGACTACAACGATAATACACCATCGTGATAAAAAGAAAATAGTTTAACCCTCCATAAATTTCTTGTCCTCAAACCCAATATGAAACATATATGAATAAAAAGCAAACAAAACAGACAAGTATCAACAAGTAAGGCCTCAGTCATTACCTATTGCTTAGGGAAGGGGTGGGGGGGGAGGAGGAGGCGGAAGATTTTGGGGGGAATCTCATTGTTTTCAGGGGAAATGATGAGAGATCGGTCATCGCCAACAGAGTATGAGGGAGGACTACAGAAAATTGACTGCCAGGTATGGGGGGCGGGGAGTAGGATCATTATTAAATATTAAAAAGCCTTACAGAGGGGGGGACGGCATTACATTGGCCTAGGACGCAGAGGCCTAATGGTTAGTGCGCTAGACTCTGATGAGTAGTGCGCTAGACTCTAATGAGTAGTGCGCTATACTCTGATGGTTAGTGCACTAGACTCTGATGGTTAGTGCGCTAGACTCTGATGAGTAGTGCGCTAGACTCTAATGAGTAGTGCGCCAGACTCTTATGGATAGTGCGCTGGACTCTGCTGGTTAGTGCGCTAGACTCTGAAGAGTACTGCGCTAGACTCTAATGAGTAGTGTGCTAGACTCTGATGAGTAGTGCGCCGGATTCTGATGGTTAGTGCGCTAGACTCTGGGTTGAGTGGTCTGGGTTTGAGACCTAGCCGTGTCGTTGTGTTATGTTCTTCGGAAAGACACTTAACTCTCACAGTGCCTCTTCACCCAGGTGTGAACATGGGTACCAGTGAATGGTCAGGGAAGCCTGATGAAATGCTGTGGGGGTAGGGGAGAACCTTGGGATGGAAAGGCATCCATTCAAGGCGGAGTGCTTATACCCCTCTTCACTTCATACAACATGGAAACCAGTATAAGCTCCAGCTGGGGGTCAAATAAAAATTCATCCATCGAATCAAATAAAAATCATAATGGCAAATAGGCTCAAGCACACACTTCACCGCGGAAGGGGGGTCAAATAAAAATCATCATGTCACAACCAAACCCTTCCACCACCCTCCCCTCCCCCGAAGGAGATAAATATGACCGGTCCCTACTAGCTACACATCTTGCTTGCTAAGCAAAAACTTTTTTGAGCATCGCTGTACATGCAAATTCCTTAGTACAATCAACCCAAGACCAGTTTTGATTTAGAAGAACACTTACGTGTTTTTACGTCTTCGGAAGAATTTGCTGCACAGCAACATTTAGATTTACATTCCTCGTAGGCTGAGTTCTGGGTCTCATTCTGGTGCGACTCCCTTAAGTTACTTTGAAAAGCTTTGTTGAGCTGGGGGATAAAAAAATATGATAGGATCGCTAATATGACAATCACAACTTTCTTTTATTAAAATAAAACTTCTAACCTATCCATTAGTGTTCGCGAGACTCTATTGGTTGGTAACTTAACGTCACGTGGTACAAAATCACCAGACACTTATCACCATATAACCCCAATCACTTAAATGTTTACCTTTGTCACAGAACTTTTCAGATCTGAAAGATCATTGCTTGCACTGTTTTTTATAGCCTGTACATAGTTAGAGCACAAGTGAAGACTTTCAAGTTTAAGAGAGAATTGCATAATTGAAAAAAAACTCGCATTCTGACTGGTTAACGAAGCGAGTTATTCAGCGTTCAATTGCGAGTTGAAAACGAGGCGATACTGTATCGCATCTCTGGTTTCGCACTGAGGATAACAAAAAACGATTGCTGTTTTCTTTTTTTTTTCCTATTTTTATCCAATGCGGACCTCAATGTTTGATTTAAGGGCAATTGGAGGTATTTGAGCTGAAATTAAGAAATTCTATTGGATGGAAAGGAATTGAATGCAGATATAACAAATCCTGTGTGGTTTATCTAGATGAACATTAATTGGATGGGTCTCTTAATGCAAACCAATACTTTGCTTAATTATTTCCAGTGGTGTATCTAATGAGCAAGGTAGGTCCCTCGATCACCCCTTTGTAAGACTTTTCTTAAGTCAATAAACTTCAGATTTGCGGTAATTCGTAAATTCGAAGAATCTATATGGCATTATCTTGTCCCTGTTAACAGAAAATCGGCCATAAAGGTATTGTTAACTTGATTCAATTTACACCACGGTAATTTAATATGTTGGGCAGGAAGGACGACCCAGCGAACAACATGAACAGTCTTTATTTCTAAACACGAGCACGAGGAGTTTGCTCTTAGTACCTACAACGTGATTCCCGTAGCCCGTATGTAGTTTCCCTCAGAGGGGGACTAAGTACAGGTTACGGGCCAACAGATACACCAAGTACCGTTGAAACTCGCCCAACACGCACCCACTCAGACATTCTCAATCTAAGCGATGTTGTAATGGCTCTAAAAACAAAAACGAAAACTGCAACGGATCATACGTTTCAGGATGATATAAACTTGACTTTTAGCATGAGCGTAAAGGCGTTAGAGGCCCATGAGCCCTTAATTACCAGTTGCTTGTCTCCAGTCTCCTCAGGCAGGAAAAGACAAGATTGGTGAGTAGGTCTCCTGAAGAGCATTTTTTCATTTTACCCTTACGAAATATTTCACATATGCCTGGGAAGATAGTCGTGAAAGATTACTCGTCCGCAGAACTGACGCTTTCTTATGTATCAATTTAATTTTTTCTTTTAGATTTTCGAAATTCGCAGAGTAAATGAATTGCCTCACATTTTCTGTCTTGTTCCCATCTCATAAATATATGAAAAATAAACTTGCTGAAATTGCTGAGGTCAATCATGATCAGGATCATTCTAATGAATTATGAGCTCGATGTGAGAAGAGCCTTTTAATGAGCAAAGAGGGAAATGTCTTGAACATGGAAAAAGCGTGGATGGCGGCGTCTTTATTAAAGTACCTACGGTGTTCACGGTAAAGTTATCAGTGAGATCTTTACCTTTGTTACAGTACCGTTCAAATCGG